GCACCACGTGCACAGGGTGTCATTTGTCATTCCCCTGCGAGAACGCTCCTCATTGGTCAGCAGCTTATTCTGCAAGGCTAGCCAGAGGAAGGATCTACATCTCTGTATTGTGTCAATTTTCCACACTCGTTGCCAAGCTATCTGTCTATCTTCTTGTTCATTATTGATCACGCTATAAGCACTTCGAACGGTGAAGGCGCTATGTTTATCATGCTTCCATCTAACACTGCCAGTCGAGGGATTCAAAATGCATCCATCTTCCACAAAGCGCCATGCTGCTTTAATTCCCGACCAGGTATTCGATCCAGGTTGAGCTTGATTTATGGTTGGAAGTAAGTCGTCTCCACATTTATATTTGGTGCGTATCACCCGTACCCATAGGTCATTCGGTTTCTTTATGAGGTTCCATCCGAGCTTAGCCATATAAGCCAAGTTTTGTGCCTTCATTCTTTTGAAACCCAACCCTCCATTATCCTTGGTCCTGCAGACGTTCTCCCACGCCACCAAGTGTGCTCGTCGTTTCTCTGTCGTGGAACCCCATAGGAAGTTTCGATTAAGCTGTTCAATTTCATTAGAAGTAGATGTGGGTAGTGATGCGGTTTGCATGGTATATCCTGGCATTGCTGACGTTACAGAATTAATTAAAGTGGCTCGGCCCGCAAGGGAGAGTGAGTTAATTTTCCAGTTCCCTAGACGTTGCTTCATTTTATCTACCACCCCGTGAAAGCTTGCAGCAGACACCCTTTGATGATGTAGTGGCACCCCTAGATATTTTCCCAGGTCGGCAGCCATCTGAAACCCAAGAAGGGTACTTAGTTCATTTCTTCTTGTATGGTTGACGTTCTTGGAGAAAAATATCCGGGTTTTTGCCGAATTGACTTTAAGTCCCGAGCTTTGGCAGAACAAATCCAGGCAGCTTCTCACCTGCATTGCTTGGGAGGTAGAAGCTTCCACAAATAATAGGATGTCATCAGCAAAAAAAAGATGTGAGAGTGGGGGACCTGACTTACAGAGCCGTATAGGCAGCCATGTATGAGATTCAACTCGTTCCTGGATTAGGTGTGCTAGTTTTTCCATGCACAGAACAAAGAGGTAGGGTGAGATTGGGTCACCTTGTCTCACACCTCTACTGGGGGTGAATGAACCAGCGACTTCCCCATTCCAAAGAAGTTTCATAGTAGGTGAGGAGATGCACCTGATAATAACTTCGATGAGATGGCTAGGTAGCTTTATCTCCGTGAGGCAATTCCTCAGAAAGTTCCAATTAACTCTATCATAGGCTTTCTCAAGATCAATTTTAATGGCCATAAACCCTTTCTTCCCTGTCATATTTCGCACAGAGTGCACCACTTCCTGGGCTATTACAATGTTATCTGAACTGTGCCTTCCTGGGACAAAGCTGCACTGATTTGGGCTGACTATCTTTGGCAGTATACCTTTTAATCTGTTTGCCAAGACCTTTGTGATTACCTTAAACACCACGTTGCAGAGGCTGATTGGTCGAAAATCCTTAACTTCCTCTGGGCCCTCCTTCTTGGGTATTAGCGTAATAAGGGATTCATTTATGTCTTTGATCAAGGAAGGTTGTCGCCAGAGTCTTTGGATCAGGTCACACACAGACTTTCCCATATGGGCCCACTGGCTTTGGTAAAATAATGCATTCAAACCATCTGGTCCTGGTGCCTTTAACGCTCCCATATGAAATATGGCATCCTTTATTTCAATATCAGAGATCTCACAACCCATCCTATTCAATTCTCTAGTATCGATGGGAGGAAAGACAACGCTGCATTGAAGCTGGACACGGTGTGTCTCCTCTTCCTCGTACAGGGTTGTGAAGAAGGACAACACTCGAGCCTGAATAATTTTTGGATCGTATATCCATGCATTTGAATCGTCTTTTAGTGCCCCTATAAAATTATGTCTTCTGCGTCCATTAGCTCGTGTGTGGTAATAGCGAGTGTTTTTATCCCCGTTTATTTGCCATTCGCTTCTAGCTTTTTGTGCCCATATTAGTGACTCCTGTAGAAGTGCTTCCTCAAGTTCCTGCCATAGCTGCTGTTGGAGCTTCTCGAGTTTATCATTTAGACCGTAATTCGCCTCTGCTTTGGAGATGCCGTTTAGTCACTTCATGAGCTTTTTAATTCAGGTCCCGGTAAAACCAAAGACCTGTTTATTCCATTCGGTGCACGCGGTGGTGAAGCTTGAGACATTCACAGTCCAAGGGTTGTCCCCTATCCAATTTTCCTGAACGAAGCGAGGGAAGCCATCATGGAGTACCCAAGCTGCAAGGAAGCGAAATGGGCGTGTACCTGTGCGTGGTTGCGACAAGCCATTTGTTTGGAAAAGTAATGGTCGATGATCAGATCTATACCATGGGAGGTGGGTTACTGTGGCATTCGGGAACTCATGCAACCACCTTTCTGACCCCAAGACTCGGTCTATGCGACTTGTAGTGCCTGTGCTTTTCCATGTGAATGGAGGTCCAATGAATCCCAGGTCCGTGAGGCTAACTGATTCAATGAAGCGGTAGAAGTCTCGGTCAGGTTCTCTAGTCTCTCTTGCAGACCATCTCTCCTTTGACAGTAATGTAGCATTAAGGTCCCCTCCAATGCACCAAGGCCCTTGTATTCTACCAGCTAAGTCAGTCAATGATTGCCACAAAGCCCACCGCTATGAGGGCCGAGGGCTTGCATACACACACGTCATTTCCCAGGTTTTGTGGTCAATGCTTTCAATTCGTAAGTGGATGAATTGCTCTCCATGTTCTAAGACTTCCACCTGCTTGAACCTGTCCGACCAGAGGCACCAAAGGCCACCCTTATATCCATCCGCATCAACAAGATGCATGTTTCGTAGACCCAGCTGCATGGCTATCTGCTTAGCCTTATTTCTGCCATATCTTGTTTCAAATATTGCAACAAAGTCCAGCTTATGTAGAGAAACCAGAGCACAAATCAACTTTGGGAATGAACGGGCCCCTGTCCCGCGTGTGTTCCAAAGGAGAGCATTCATTGAGAAACCACGTCGTTTGGAGAGGCGGCAAGCCTCAAGTTGTCCTCATGGTTCATAGCTGAAGCCACGTCAATATCCAAGTGCATGGAGTTATCATCATTTTGGGCCAGTCATGGTGCATTTTCCACTGATGAGCCCATCTCACTTACTCGGCCCATTTCACGTCGCTTCGCTTCATGGGCTTCCTGTCCACTACTCATGGCTAGCTGTAGGTCCAAATTTTGATCATTTCTCAAGACCTCAAAGGGGTTTGTAAAGTCCACTGGGCGTCGTTTGACTGCTACTTTCCTCTTTGCTCCCACATGGACCCATTCCTCATTATTGTTATCCATTGATTTCCCGAATCTGCGCTCCTTTTCTCCACTCATATCCATTCCTTCATCCGCACGAGCTCCATCCTTGGAGATATCTAATGGGCCACGTGTCCCTACTCCTTTTTGACTGTTACTTTGAAGATTAACTCCCTTTTTAATGCCTTGCGAGTCTGGCGTCCCCCGAATCTCTGCATTAAAATGTTTCTTCCCAAAATCTCTCTTAGCCAACATTTGGGGTCCGTAATCTCCTCCGATAGATCCGCCTTGATTTTTCCCGATTTGCGGAGATTCCCCATTGGGCTTCGCTTCGCCGGCAGGCTGCTCGGCGGTTTGCTTCTGATTGTCACTAGGATTTTCTTGGTTCTGGTTCTCCGACCGTCTCCAAGTGCAATGATCCATCCGGTGACTGTAGGTGCCGCAATTGAAGCACACTAAGTGAAGGCCTTCATACTCGATTTTCCTCTTTTCACCAAAGTGATCGAAACTCGGCAGCAGTGGCTGTTCTAAGTCCAGCTCCACACAAATTCTGGCAAACCCACCCTTTTCAGAGAAAGCTGTCGTCCTATCTATCTTGAGCGTCTTCCCGACCAAGTTACCTAGCCTTCGAAGAGATTCCACATTATAGAGTTCTACCGGGAGGTCTGGGAATCGGATCCATGCAGCAACGCGTTTCTGGTTATCGGCCTTCCATGGGTTGAAGTTCGGGCGCCACCTCTGGACAAGTAGATAGTGATCCGCAATCATCCAGGGGCCCTCTTGGAGCGCAAAGTCTCTATCTTCTGGAGTGGAGAAAGAGATGATAAAATATCCATTGTTCAGAGGCGTCACTTTGATAGGATGCTTTGCCCACATCTTCTCCATCCGTCCCCTCATAAACCCCACACTAAAGGTCTTCCCTAACAGTTTCACAATCAGCGAATTAATGTACGGTTTGCACCATGCAGCATATTCATCCACCGTAAACTTTAGTGAAGGAATGATCCCCTTCGTCCGCCATGCTACCTTCTGTTCTTCTTCCACTTCTTCCGTCGTCATCTCCTCTTCTTCGTCCTCCTGTGTCTCCTTTATATTGCAATTTCTAAAGTAGCTCTTCCACCCACTCAACGTTTCTGCCGCTACCTTGTTTGATTCCAAGAATCCCGTTGCTCCTAGGCTCAGGAGTTTGTCTCTGTAGGAGGTACCACTACTACCAGCCGTCTTTGGACCCCGTCCCTCTTGACCCGGTTTTGGCCCTGTCTTTGGTAGGGCGCTGCTGCTTCGAAACACCATCTCCTGCCGACTTCCATCCCTTGCATTCGCTCTTCCAGACTCACGCTCTCGTTCACCATTCTCGCATCCCTTGCTACTCCTTCTTCTTTTTATGTTCCCCTTGTTCTCTTCTACTCTGCTTCTGATCATGATTTTTCCAAACTGTCTCAAAAGTTGAAGACTTCGCTATCTCAAATTCTCACTCTCTATTATCCATTCAGTAGAAGAATCAAAAGAAACAAAAGCAATCTCTATGTTGATTGCAATGACAAGGGTGTCCTTTACCTTGAAGCTAGAGTACCCTCAAAGCTGTCGGATTTTCTCAAGAGTAATACCAACGAACAACTCAATGAGATTAAAGGGTTTCTTCCATTAGATCCCTATAAGCCTAAACTTGGCGATGATGATGAAGATCATCTAATAATGGCTCTTCAGGTTACTGAGTTTGGCTGTGGAGGCATAGCAATTGGTTTGTGCATCTCACACAAGGTTTGTGACGGGACAACAATAGCTTCATTCCTCAAAGCTTGGTCCCAAAAGGCAATGGGAGAAGCTTCTTCTTCACCTCTTAATATGGAAGCTTCTTTTCTTTTTCCACACAAAGGCATAGAGATTGACATCAATGATAGGTTAGGTGAGAAGAATATTACAACAAAGAGATTTCTGTTTAGTGGAAATAGCTTGTGCAAATTGAAAGAAGAAATTTCAAGAGGTTGCGGCTTTAAACCAACCAGAGTTGAAGCTGTGACAACTTTGATATGGAAATCAGCATTGGAAGCTGCAAGAACCACAGAACTAAGTGACAAAAGTAGTTCATTCCTGTTACATGTCGTGAACATCCGTGGCCGGATGCAGCCGCCGTTGCCGGAAAATTCTTTAGGTGATGTTGGCATGCGTGCTTTCACTAATGTGCTTAATTATGAGTGTTTTCATTATATTCATTTGTTTAATTTGAGCCTTTTCGTTGACAAAATCTAGGTAATCTTTTTGTACCTTCAATTTCTCCATTGTTTGAAGTTGACAAAGAAACAAAGATGGAGCTACAAGATTTGGTTGAAGTAGTGAGGAACACCATCAAAATGGTTGATGGAAATTATGTGCGTAAGCTTCAAGGAGATGGTCAAGAACTTATGGAGACTCTTGAACCAATGTCACAAAAGTTTTATTTGGTGGCTAAGAAAGGTGTTCCTTGTTATGGCTTCAGCAGTTGGGTGAGGTTTGGTTTTTATGAAACAAATTTCGGATGGGGCAAGCCGACCTGGGTTTGTACTATTGGAGTGCCTATAAAAAATGTGATAATTTTGATGCCAGCTTGTTCTGGAGACGGAGGATTAGAGGCTTGGATCACTTTGAATGAGCTTCATATGTGCCAATTTTAAACCCATCCTCTACTTCTTCAATTTGTTTCTACTGATCCTTAATTAAGTACTCTGTATTGGATTGAAAAAAAGTGATTCAAGTAATTATGTATATGTTGGAAATTTTATCTCTTTTAATTTGTTAGTAACCTTTATTTGTCCATTAACTATTATTTGTGTTTATTGTAGCCACCATAAACTTGCATATATATTATATACTACATCCAGTCCCAATTATAAAACCTTATTTATAAATTATAAATGAGGTCTTATAATTAGAACCAAAAGTAGTATTTGGCATATATCATATATTTTATGTCACGAAGGAATTACTACTTGCCTTGGCTTTTCCTTGAAACAAAGACTTTGATTATAAGAATCTTTATAGTCATACTCTCCCAAAATCAAGTTGAATAAATCCTTTAATATTTGATATTTTGCATTTTTAATATTTGTTTTATATATGCTATTAGCTTACAAATATTTGTATTTGCAATTAAAAAACAAAAAGATTTTTGCAGATGGTTTAACAAGTGTGCAGCGATTCTTGGTAATTGCTAACAAACTCATTGCCATGGCACATTTTTAGCTTTTGTCAAAATCACTAGCCACTACTCATGTTAGTAGCACTTTAACCGCTACAAATACACTAAGATAACCGCGGCAACATGATGTTTTCTTAATATTCCTCCAGTTATGAATATAAGAATTATTTTATAACATAAATTACAATAAAAAATAGATATTATATTAAGGATAAGAGAAGTAGTATGTATTTATTAAATAGATCAAAATAAAAATCACATGTTACATAATATGTAATATTATATTATAAATTTCATGTTGTTTAGTAATCACAAATAAGGAAAATTTTAGAAAAAGATACCCGCAATTAGTATTTTTCAATTCACGTATCTAATAATCCAAAATAATAGAAAATGAAGTAAACTTCAATTGAAAATTTTAAATTCAAGAAGAATGACAAAAATGCCCTTTCATGAATAACAATTTTTCTGGCTTGTGAAATAACAAGCATCAACTTAGGATTGTTTTTTTCACACATAACATGTGAAATAACATGTGAATTAATTAAAAATGAGAATAATTCATCTAAAAATAACAAGTCCTGATTGTAAAATTATAAGTCTTCATTTGGGATTAACAACACGTTTTCTCTTGATCCATAACATGTAAAATAGTATGTGAATTAATTAAAAATGACAACAATTCGTCTGAGAATAATAAGTCTTGATTGTGAAATTACAAGTCTCAATTTTGAATTAACAACAAATTTTCCAATGGGATTAACAAAGGGGCATTTTTGTCATTTTCTTAAAATTTCAATTTGGATTTATGTCTTTCTATGTCATTTTAAAGTGTTAGGTTCTTGAATTGAAAAATACTAATTTCACAGTTTTTTTCCTGAAATTTTTCCTTACACATACGTAGAAGTGCTATTGAATATAATCATCTTAACTTCACATATATTTTGACGTTTCCCATGAGTTACGAGTTTGTCTATGTCCTCCTTCCAAGTGTTTTTTCTTTCTTTCTTTGTTTTTTTTTCTTTTTTTTATCTTATTGGTATTTCCTCTCATAGTGAAATAAGTATGCATTCATTCTGTTTTTTTTCTTTTGACCTTGCATTCATTCTGTTAAACTATATCTTTAAGTCTGCCTAGATCGTATCATTTGAATTCTTACATATGCCCTAAAGAGTTATAAAACTAATTTCATTATATATTTCATAGAGAAAGGAAAGATTTAATAACTTTCATATTCCGTGTGTGTGTAAAATCCATGGCAGAGAGTCTCTCAGTTAAAGTACCAACAAAAACAACATAAGAAAAAACTAAATAGGAAAAGGCCATTAACTTTATGGTAATACTTAACATCACTTCTCTTGTTTGCCAACAGTAAGCAATGGCCTCAACCCAATTGTAAGAGCGGATGTAGCTCACACAGCAGCCTTTAGAATTCCAAACACGTGCAAGATATTGAAACAGAGACAACAAATAGTAAATATTAGATCATTTTATTTGAAAACACTTTAGAAACCGATTGAAATTGAGAGAAGATCAATTATATATCTAAGCTTAACCGTACCTCATTAGCCCTGATACTTAAGTCCATTTCACCCAAGTCACGCTCAGCAACTTTGGATTCAACCAGAATTGATAAAGAAGATGGAGATGAAAATGGTTCTACGCACATAGCACGAACTTTGTTCCTGACTTTACACAATCACCTGCATTATTCCCTGCAGAACTTCCTGATACATAAACTGGTAACAACTGGTTTCTGGCTTTTGTTGACGCAATACGAGGATTGAGAATATTGTTCTTTAGATCACGAAGACTCGAATCGAAAACCCTAGTTTCATCCGAATCAGCCAAGCTCTTTAATGGAACTCCAATACTCTGAATGTATTATTCGATAGCTAAAGCTCCACGGATAAGCTCCAATGGAGAAATTACAGCAGAAGAACGAAAACAGTAATGCTCACGGCACTCTCCCAGAGTCACACGTGTGACACCTCACATAATTATATCAATATACGAAATAAAATATTTAATTTAAAAGTCCATACATATTTTTAATACTGCAATTAAGTTAAAATTTCAAAACATTTCTAACATAACTTAACAACATAAACTATTAAAGTCTTATAGTCATGGCAAATAAAAATATAACATAGCATGTGCTTGAGGAGCACAAAAGCCTTCACGGCTCACTCCATTGGTGCCTTCCCTTGATTCCTACTAGATCCTTCGCCTGAAAATTGTTAATATAGGGGGTGAGATCTAACGTCTCAGTAACTACTGAAATTCTAACCTATACAAGCAAATCATATATGATAAACCAAAAATCCGTTTATATGTGTGTGTATAAATATATTAAAAATCACGGATTTGAGACATCCAATTCAATTTCATTTTTTTTCCCAACAATATACCAATATCATTTTTCTAATATATCCAAAAATAATGCAATATGCTGCCTCCCTTATATCACCGTCCACCCTTATACCGCTGACTGGAGCAATAGGCTAACACATAGTCCGATAGGAACTAATCCATTTTACTGAATTATTCCAAGCTCACCGATACTAGAGATATATCCGGCCAAAGATATAGAGCTCAAGCTCGGACTATGGCTCCCCTCCTTTGTGAATAGGGAGGTGTCACATGTCCCACAGCTCCAATGAATTCCCGACCAAAGGAAAACATAGAAGAAGGGGCCCTGACAAGTGCCATCCACTGTGCACCGAGTGATGGCATACCACGTGGTAATTTCATATCCATGCAATCTCCTTCTATCCTTAGCCCAACAATGCATGTCAGATGCCAATAATGTTACATCATAAATACGTCCTCAAATATTTTAAAGATAAGATAGCAATAAAACTTATATACCATTTAATAACAACTCATGACAATTCCTCAGCCATCAATATATTTAAACATTGATCATAATTAATAGCAATAAATCTTGACAAAATCAAATAACATATCAAAACATTTATTTGAAATCATAATACTACTTTTCAGTATGACATAAAAATTAGTAAATCCACAATATAATCATACACAATTCACATGTACAAGAAAGAATTTTCAGAGTTACCTGGTACTCTTTAACTTACAAATGTTCACACAAAGATTACTCTAAAATTCTTAAGTCTACAAAATTGCACATAAATATTCATTAACATAAACTCAAAGCTACTCCAAAGCTACTCTAAAATTCTAAGACTACCTTCTAAACCAAAATTTACATCAATATATTAACTCTCCTAAATCTAGGCATTTATAATAGATATTATTTTGAAAAATAATTTACATATAAGGCTATTTAAATTTAACAAAAGTATATATATTTTTAATTATAAACAAACTGTAGCTTTATTTAATTTTACAAAATTCTCAATTTATAATTTTTCAAGCCTTCAAAAGTTATTTCAAAAATATATCTTTAACTTATTCAATATTTAAACCGATTAAAATCTCAATAATATATTAAATAACTCATATAAATTATTTAACTCAAATTTAATCGGTAAAAACATATTACAAGTCTAAATAACAAACTTTTCAACTAAAATCTTAGTTTAAAATTCTCAAAATAATCATTCAACAAAAATAAACCGATTAAAATTTCTTAATAATGTATTTTAAAATTTCTACGGTCATATATTGTCAAAACTCCATATTTACTCTATACCCAAGCGGTAAAATTTTCTTTAAACATGATAATGATACTAATAATATAAAGCTATAAATATATAGGAAATATTCATAAAGAAAATATGATAACAAGAAGTAGTTTTGTGTACCTAAATGATCTCCAAAACCGTCACTCTGGAACTCGGTCTCTGGCACTCTCTTGCTCTTGCTTGAAGGAGATCACCAGGGGATGATATATATATAATACCCCATGTTTCATTTTTCCACGGCTCATCTCCCACTTTTCCACTTCCACCGTCCTTTCCCCCTCTCTTTCTTCCATCAAATTTCTTCTTTCATTTATTACCTTCTAATTTTTTTTCCAACCCATCTAACACTCCCCCTCAACATTCCTCTTTCATTTAATACACCCCCCTCAAATTCTTCTTTGCCTCCAACTTTCCACCGATTTGGTGGAAAGTTGTCCCCCCCCTTTTTTTTTAATAATAAAATATTATTATTATTATATATATTATTTACGTTTTTTTTTTAGTATGTTACAACACGGACCCTCCTAAACCTCCCTCAGTTTTTCCATGCCTTCCCTGCCTAACCCCTCCACACAATATGCTCACCCCTTCCCATAACTAACTCGTAGGAATACCTAAAATTACCCTTGACACATAAGAAACACTAGTCATCTGAATTGGGCTTCTTCCACTACAAGAGAATAGCAAGTTAGTAGCGGCATATTTCTAGCGGTTCAATAAAACCGCTACAAATTTACGCATTTCTAGTGGTTTCAAGAAAAACCGCTAGAAATGAGCATCGCTTTGACAATTTTCTAGCGGTTATATGCCAACCGCTAGAAAATCACAGCTAGAAGTCTTCCCGGGTTTTGGTGCGAACTTGGCGCCGAAATTCTAGCGTTTATTTTCTAGCGGTTTGTATGACGAAACCGCTAGAGAATGCAAGGAGTCGTCCAATTTTCTAGCGGTCCGATGAACCGCTAGTAAATTATGAATTTTCTAGCGGTTTTGTTGAAAACCGTTAGAAAATATTTAATTTTTCCTGAGGTGGTTTTCATAACCATTAGCAATTTCTAGCGGTTGTGGCCAAAACTGCTAGAAATTTCTAGCCGTTAGCGCAGAAACCGCTAGAAAATTTGTATGTTTCCCAAGGTGCCCTAAATGCGGCTGCCAACTGTTAGAGATTTCTAGCGGTTTAGCGACAAGCGCTAGAAATTTCTAGCGGTTTTTGGTAAAACTGCTAGAAATTCTCTGCCTATATATACCCCCCACGGTCATTTTCACTGTTTCATTCGTTTGTGAAGTGAAGCTCTGCCGAATTCTCTCCACGAAACATATCTGAGTTCGGGTTCAGTTGCAGATCCCTATTTTTAGGTAGAAATAGTAATTTATTGATAAATAATTTGTATTCTTATTTTTTATTTAATTTATTATATTTTTGTTTATAAATAATTTCTCTTTTTATTTTATTTATAAATAATTACTATTTGTTGTTATTAAGATAAGTCGTCGGCTAGGGAAGGCGCCAGTTGATCCTGAGAGGGCAGGATTGAGTGAGGATCGTCGTGACGGTGGTCATGATGCTGGTGAGCCATTCCCCAGCATTCATGACTACGATCTCAACAAGGAGGATATCCTCAGCTTTATGGAGCAGGATGATATCGAGCGGACTGAGGAGGCTCATTTTACTAGGGATGAACAACCCCATGCTGATGCTGATGTTGCTGAGGAGGAGGAGGAGGAGGAGCAGGTTCAGGGGAATGAGAATCCCCATGCTGAGCAACATCCTGCTCCCAAACGTCAGGCCGGTTTTGAGGTGGAATTTGAGGGTAAGTATTTATTTAACTTTTTTAAATTTGACAACTATTTAATTTATATAGAAATTGTTTTAATTCATTGATATATAATTTATTTCTTAATTAATTTTTGCAGACTCTGAAGGGAACAGGTCTTATAAGAGGCTAACAGCCAGAGAGCTGTCTATGATGACGAGCGGACGAGCGGTTGTGCCGCTCAATGAGTTGGGCTAACCGACGAAGAAAGGTGGCCAGCTGTACAACAAGTACGTGTGCCTCCTTGGTCAGTAGTGGACGCTGTTCCCTATCTACGTGCAGGACTGGAAGAAGATCACCTCAAAGAAGAAGCCGCAAGGTTGGGAAATGATGAAGGTAATGTAAAATTATTATTTATAATTTTTTAATTTAAATAAATGATTACATATTTTGTTTTCAAATTATTTAATTGTTTGATTGTAATTTTTTGTTTACTTAATTTATTTGTTATTTATAATATTTTTAAAGTAGTTAAATGAATATATATATTATTTAAATTACTTTATTGTTTGAAAATAATTTGTTATTGATTTCATTAATTTATTACTTATAATAATTTTAAATTAGTTGAGTAAAAATATATTTTCATTTAAATTACTTAATTGTTTAATTATGATTTGTTATTGATGTAATTTATATTTCATTTATAATATTTTAAATTGCTTAAATAAATATATATTTTATTGAAATTGTTTAATTGTTTTTTTATAATTTGTTATTTACTTAATTTATTGTTTTAATCACAGAGTAAATTCATATTGAGGGAGGAGTTGAGGGCCAACACGATCAAGAGGCTTGGGGTGGTATGAAAGAACAAAGGGCCGACCTGTGGAGGGAGAAGAAAAGTGACGGGACGAGGCCCCCGCAGGAGATACTGGCAGATGTACCTGGTGGAGTCCCGGAGCAAGACTGGACTAGTTACATCTATTTTAGGATGTCGGCTGACCAGATGGTATGATAATATTGTATTAATTATAATTGCTTTATTTTTTGTCCAATTTGACTAATTTAATTTAATTTAATTTTTTTACATTTTGCTTCAGGCTCTTTCTATGAGAAATGCTGGGAGCGTCAGTTATCAGACGATATGTTATAGGGCTGGATCCAGGAGCTTTGCGATCACCTATGATGAGATTATGAGTACTTGAAATAAATTTGTTAAATATGTATATGTATTTAATTTGTAACTAATTATTTCTTTCATTTCATTTTCAGAGAGAAAAGAAGCAGCAGGAGCGGGGACACATGCCCACTTATGGCGAGATGTGGCCGATTTTGTATAGACCTCGAGACAGGCGTGCGTCGGATGAGGTTGAGGAGATAACGGTAAGTAATAAATTAAATATTAATATAATATCACAGTATAAATATCATTTCATACTAATTAGCCTCTTTATATTAATTTTCATAGGCATGGATGACTCAGGTCGATACCGAGTTGTGTGAGTCTCAGGGGTTTGCTTTGGATCCCACCGCCTCACTTTTAGCGGGTCGTGGCCGGGCAAAGCACCCTGGTCTAGTTAGCGGGCTCGGACTTGGACCTACACCGACTAGGTTGCCCCGCTCAGGTGGCGCTGGCCCTTCATATACTACGGGGAGCTCTCGGGCGAGCGTGGGAGGGAAGCGGCTGGGTTCCTCATCCTCAGAGGAGTTGCGAGAGGAGCTCAGACAAGAGTTGGAGGCCAACATCAAGGCCAGGGTGGAGGCTAGGATTAAGGAGCGTGATCGTCAGTTGCAGGAGCGTGATGCTCAGTTCCAGTTGAAGCTTGACCAGTTCAAGGCAGCTGCTACGGTTATGCGTGATGTGATGATCAGTATGGCTCCAAACATCTCGATTCTTGAGATCCCCGACATACGCCTACCACCAGTCCCGCCTTTGCCCCGTATCAGCTAGTCCAGCCCCAGCACGTTCAGTAGCCTGCCCATCCCCAGCAGGAGGATCCAGCGGAGGACGATCACGATGATGCTGCTTCTGCCCCTCACCACTGATTTCCCCTGTTTTCATTGTATATGATTTTATTTGAATTTTGATTTTATGATTTTATATTCTATTTAGATATTTATTTAAATTTTATGTTTATTTGTTTACTTTAATTATTTATTTCTATAATTTTATTTATGTCAAGTATTAATTAACATTAAAATATTTATTAATTTATTACTATATAAACGTTAAAATTTATTAAACATGTTAAAACATGTTAATTAATTAAAATATTTCTACAATTTATTTCTATAATTTAAATACTTCAATAATTATTTATTAATTTATTAATTAAATTTATTAATTATTTAAACAAGTATAATTAAAATATTTCTATAATTTATTAATTACTATATAAAACATGTTAAACATATATTCTTTCGACATTAAAATTTATTCTTGAAATATGTATTTAATTTAACAAATCATAGAATTTATTAATTTAATAAATATTTATAAATATTAATAATTTTGTTTATATCAAGTATTAATTAATACATTATTTAAAATATTTTTTGAATATTTAATTTTTTTAAATATTATATTAATTCTAGTGGTTCTAGGACCGCTAGAAAATTCAAGACAAATTTGAGTTTCTAGCGGTTAATAACCGCTAGAAAATCAAGAAAATTTGTAGCGGTTCAAAACCGCTAGACATTGTATAACTGTTGTCACATTCAAATTTCGTCATGGCGCAAATTTTGTAGTAGTTATGAACCGCTACAAAAATTTCTGTTCGTTGAAACCGCTAGAAATTTCTAGCGGTTAGTAACCGCTACAAAAAATTGACCATTACATAACCGTTGGCAGCCTCTTTTATAAGCTAAAACACTCCAACTGAAATTTATTTTAACTTCTCTTTGAGCTTCCTATGTCATATATTCACGAAATTTGAGCAATACTAGTGATGGATCGGTCGTGGATCAACTTACACCGAGAGGCAACCGGCGGCGAAGGGGAGGACAATGATGACCGGCGGTTTCGAATGGAACTGGGGAGTACCAGCGATTTCAAATGGGATTGGGGGGTTATTGAAATGGAGGGGAAACCGAATGGGAGGGGAGGATCAGATGTGAAACCGATGGGAGGGGGAGGGGAGGGTTTTGAAATTAGGATGAAAAGTGAAAAGACCAAAGGGTTAGGGTTTTAAAATTAAAACAATGAATCCACCCTCAAAACCGATCAGATACCACTACAAAAAAATATGTTAATTCTAGCGGTTAGAGTGTTACATTTCTAGTGGTTAAGGAAACCGCTAGAAAAACAGGTGCAAGAAAAAATTTCTAGCGGTTATTGCAACCGCTACACATCATGGTCAAAACGATAGAAAATTTTTAGCGGTTTATAACCGCTAGAAAATATCTGAAGGAGAAACATTCCTAGCGGTTATAAAACCGCTAGAAAATGTTCCGGAAAAAAATTTCTAGCGGTTTTATAACCGCTAGAAACCTGCTAAACGAAATCCATTTTGCCGGGAATTAAATAATTTCAGTAGCGCGGAAATTACTAGCGGTTATAGAACCGCTAGAAATGTTTGGGAAATTAAATTTTCCCGCCAATTGAATTTTAGGAATGGCGGCAAAAAATTTTCTAGCGGTTTGAACCGCTAGAAATTTTGGCGCAAAATTTAAATTTGACGAAATATTTCTAGCGGTTCGGAACCGCTAGAAATGTTTACCGTGCCAGAAAAAAAAATTTATGGTTTTTCATATTATAATTTTAAAAACCATTAAATAAATTATGTTGAAGAATTTTTGTTAATTTGTATAATTAACAAAAATATGTAATTTTGTAATAAAAAATATGTAATTAAATTATGAATGTGTCAAAAGAAGTGAATTTAATTTAATCAGATAATTTAATTGAATATTTAATAAGATAGTTGAATTGAAGATGATATATTTTGTAATATTGAACCTATAGTATTAGGTTGATGAGTATTTGAATCAGTTGAGGAGGGCATGACAAGTGTGGAGAGAAAAATCTGAAAGGAAAGGAGAAATAAATATGTTAGTAAATTTTAAATAAAAACAAATAAAAGATACAATGAATTATAAAATAAAATTCACTTACCATACAGTAAAGAGAAAAAAACCACCATATGAGATAGTAAGAAAAAAAGAGAGAATTATGAAGAAGAATAGGAGAGGAAAGAAAAGAGATGGAGTAAATGAATGTAGAGAAGATATGGTATTTATAGAGATCAGCGACACATTTGTAGCGGTGTTTTTGTAGCGTTTTATTGCATTTTGTAGCTGTTATTCATTTTCTAGCGTATATATAAGCGCTAGTATTTTGTAGCGGTTATATTTGTAGCGGTTATTAACCGATAGAAATTTAGTATTTTTTATTTTTTAAAATCTGAACGAATTTTAATTTACAGATATATATTTGTAGCGGTTAATAACCGCTACAAATTACAATTTCATAAAATACATTTGTAGCGGTTAATAACCGCTACAAATTACAATTTCGTACAAAAAATTTGTAGCGGTTATGTAACCGCTACAAATTAAAATTTTCTTATTTTTAAAAAAACTGTACGAATTTTAATTTATACATATGTATTTATGGACGGAAAATTTTTTAAATAATTTATTTTGGATGCTGCTATTCTCCATCATCATCCGGCCTGAAAGGACACATTTTAAAAAAATTTGTTAAATTTATAATGTTTTGGAAAAAATTAGTAATTAGTAGTTAATTATTTAAATAATTTAAGAAAAGACGTGTACCTGATAAGTGGCAAATTATCATCTCCTTGAGGAAAGAAGTCTTCAAAATTCGAGGGTTGGAAGGGTTCACTGTCGTAAATAATGTCACCATCACCCATATCGTAAAGATCCCGTGGCTTGAGGTGAACGACCATATTCCAGTCTTTATGTTTCTCGTCCTCGACATAGTAAATTTGGTGTGCCTCAGAAGCAAGGATATATGGCTCATCATCTTCAGATGCCCCCGTATGAATAAGTCTAGAGAAATTGACTGAGGTGATGCCCAAATGGTCAGTAGCGAGTCCCCGTGAAGTTGTCGTATTTGCCCAGGAGCACTTGAACAGTGTCACGGTGAAAAGCTGGTAACTCAACTCAATAATGTCAATTAGCTTTCCATAGTAAGTGACGCCTCCAAAGCGCATATCGCCATCACTACTGCTAGCATAACATCTCGTTCCGAATGTCCCGCAAACTCCAGAGTTTTGTGTGAGCAATCCCTGATCACGTCCAACCGTACAGAACTTGAAGCCGTTGACATTGTACGCGGTAAACCTTCGTGCATGGTCTAACGGACCGAGAGAAAGAGCTTTGAATTCATCTGTGTATGGGCTGTTGTCATTACGTATTCGACGTGTAAACCAACTGGGAAACTCTTTGTGGACTCTTTTATCAATGTCAGCAGAACGCGCACGGCCCCGTAGCTGACGCCTGAGATAACTCCTAAACTCACTATAGTAAAGTGTAATTTGTTAGAAGAGTCAGTAAGAAACAAATATAAAGTGTAAAAGCTAGTGAGCTTATATGATATATATACTTACTGCATGAAGGGTTCAACTTGGCTGCAATTTATCAAAACGTGTCTGTGTGCCTGGAGTTTCTCTGTAGGAGTGAGTCTGAAGAATTCATATCCTCCAACTGGTTTCCCAACAGGAGGAAATAAAGTTGACGTGGAAGGACCAGGAGGAGAATCATCTACGCGACGCGGGCGGTTAAAAGATGTCTCCATGTCATCAAAGTACCTCGAACAGAAAGTTAGGACCTCATCTCCGGAATAACCTTCTGCTATTGACCCCTCAGGCCATGCCTTATTCCTAACATATGATTTTAATTTTCCCAAGTACCTGTAAGTTAAAATTGCATTAATAATTACGAGTAAATGAAAGAACAATGTGAAATTTAAAGAGGCGGGAATAAAAGATAATCTAGTACCTCTCTATAGGGTACATCCATCGATAGTGAACTGGGCCAGCAACCTTTGCTTCTCGAACAAGGTGGACAGTCAAGTGAACCATAACAGTAAAGAATGATGGAGGAAATATCATCTCCAAGTGACAAAGTGTAAGAATAATTTTATTTTGCAGCTGATCAAGCTCTTCCGCTACCAAGACCTTCGCACACAACTTCTTGAAAAATGAACATAATTCTACCAAAACCACCGATACATCAGAAGGAAGTGTGTTTTTCAAGGCCAATGGAAGTAACTGTTGCATAAGAACATGAGAGTCATGACTTTTCAACCCAGTAACCTTTCGAGCCTGCAGATCGATACACCTTGAGATGTTGCTAGAATATCCATCTGGTACTTTTATGTTCTTCAACGTCGAGAGGAAGATATCCTTGTTTGCTTTGTCAAGGTGAATTTAGCTGGCTGAAACTTGTCGTTTTCATCAGGCCAAGCCTCTTCACGAATTCCCCAGGCCCGTAAATCTTTTCTAGCTGCGAGATGGTCTTTGGACTTTCCAGCTTCATTGAGCAACGTATATAGCACATTATCGCACACATTTTTTTCAATGTGCATAACATCCAAACTGTGTCGTAGCAAATTAGATTCCCAATAAGGAAGAGTGAAAAATATGCTTCTCTTCCGCCATTGCATAGGTTGCGTATCAGATGTCCCACGAGATCGTCGTCCCAATCGTTCGGGATCCACACTCTTACCAAACTCGACATGAACATCTTCTAACTGCCGCAAAATATCCATACCAGACAAAGTAACAGGAGGATCTCTCTTCTCCTGTTTCCCATCAAAGCGAATCCGTTGCAATCTAAGTCTGTGCTTGGAATCAAGGAACCGTCGATGTCCTATGAAGCACCACTTGCGACTGTGTGGAAGGCGACATGGCACAGAATCAAAATTGCACTCAGGACAGGCCAACCCAGTATGCACATTCCAGCCAGACAAAGTTCCCAAACCGG